CGTATATATATATATATATATATATATATATATATATATATATATATATATATATATATATTAGATTTGACATATAGATTGAATTGGTTTATTATCTGATATATGTTCATCTTGATTAGTTTTACTTTGACCGATGATACAAGATTTTTAATATGATATTAGAGTTAGATGGACAAAAATAAGTAAAAGAAAAAAAGATTAAATAAAAAATAAAAGATTGAACCAATCAAACTATGGTTTGACTAAATGAAGATGCCGACGTGAAAATCACCCATCAAAAAAGATTAAAGTCAAAGTTTGAACTCTTGAAAATAAGAGAAATCATAAACCCACAAATGAAACTAAGAAGATGTTTGAAATAATATGTGTGAGATGAAAAAAGATATCCTAACAGTATAATCTCATATCATTAATAATTTAAAAAGTCTGTGTTATATCTATTAGGTTTGATCTTGAATATAGAAGCATAAGCTTTTGGAATGAATTGATATTTCTGAATTCTTATCTACTTTACATTCTAAAAACATCAATAACAAGCTGTGCCATTAAGAATTCAAGCTCTTATCTACTTTAGATTTAAAAATATGAATAATAAGAAGATTCAGGAGAATTAAAGGCAAATCTTCCTCTCTAATGAAATACAATAATATGTTGAATCATAAAAATGAATGGACTAGGGGACAAAAGAAATAGAAAAGATAAGCCCAAAATTCTTGCTTTGTTATTGGGTACCCAAAGAATACATTCTATTCCAAATAAGATCTGCTTTTTCTTTTTGTGGAGAAGAGAGAGATTATTGCTTGAAACAAGAGAAAGAAAAGGGTATAATTATGATTTAGATTTTAGACCGCATATTCCTATCAAAAATATTATGATTGGTATAGTTATCAATTGCTGTTGATGTTATTCTTTGTAGTTCTCCATGCAAAAATTATGACCATTTTTCTATTTATATAGATATTTTTCAATATTGAAATTACAACCATGACTTCCTCACAAAATCAAAGTATTATATTTTTCATATAATAATAAATAATATTGAAATTAGAACCATGACTTCGTCTAATATTCATCTACTAATCTCCATATTGTCACACGCATATTAAATAATATTTATAATTATGTAACAAAAATATAATATTTTTACTGATATTTAATATTTTAAATAATATTAATATAAATAATTATGGGAGATAGATTGTCTGAAAAAATATTATCTTTTTTTTAGATGTTACCCTTTTCAAAATTCCTAAACCATCAATCATCCTATATTTTTAAAGTTTCAAAAATATCTCTTAAAAAAATGACATTTTATTCTCACCCAAATATAATTTTTTTAAAAAACTATTTACAGTGTTTTGTGGGTTTATTTTTATCCACAAAACACCATATAGTGTTTTAAAAAATTACATAGTATTTTTGATGTCATAATATTTTTAAAATAAAAATATTATATAATATTTTTAAAATAAAAAATATTATATAATATTTTTAAAATAAAAAAATATTATATAATATTTTTTAATATAGTATTTTGTGGATTAAAAATAACTCATTGCAAACAGTTGGTGAATTTTTTTTTTGGATTTGGATGAAAAAAATATATAAACAGTTTTTAGACGGTATTTTTAAACTTAAAATAAGAGATAATAATTTAGAATTTTGAAAAGGGTAGCATCTGGAAAAAAAAAAAATCAAAATCGTCCAATAATTGTTTTATTTATTTGTAGTACAAAAACACTGCAAACTCATCCAGACAGGTTTGCTGGTGTCACACCTTTGTCTTAAATGTTCAAGAACTGGATCCGCTCACCTTCCATTCCCCCTCACCGGGCCCCACAACTCCCCCACGCCCCACTGCGCCGCCTCCGACGCCAGCCGATGGCATCGCCCCGTCTCCTCCTTCGAACCATCTCCTCCTTCTCTCCCCTCCGAGTCCTTCTCCTTCTCTCCGCCGTCCTCATCCTCTCCTTCCTCCTATTCTTCCCCAAACCCCTCCTCCGCCCCCCGGACGGTGCCGCAACCCCGCGGCCGCCGGCGCCCACCCCTACCTCCCCCCGCCACCTCCTCTTCGGAATCGCCTCCTCCTCCAGGTCTTGGCCTCGCCGCAAGCCCTACCTCCGCATCTGGTGGCGCCCGGGCCTCATGCAAGGCGCTGCCTTCCTCGACTCCCCCTCCGCCCCAGCTTCCGGTGACGACGATGACTCGCGCCTCCCCCCCGCCCGCGTCTCTGCAGACTCCTCCAACCTCCCGTACGCCTACAAGGGCGGCCTCCGCTCCGCCGTCCGCGTCGCCCGGATCGTGAAGGAGCTCGTCGACGGTGTTGTCGGCAATGGCTCCTCACCCGACGCCCGCAGCGACGACATCAGGTGGGTCGTGCTCGGCGACGACGACACGCTGTTCATCCCGGAGAACCTCGCTGGAACCCTGGCGAGGTACGACTGGGAGCAGTGGTACTACGTCGGCGCGGGGTCGGAGAGCGTGGAACAGAACGCGAAGCATTCCTTCTCGATGGCATTCGGGGGAGGGGGCTTCGCGATCAGCTATCCGTTAGCGAAGGCTTTGGCTAGGGTTTTGGATTCTTGCCTTGTGAGGTATGCCCATTTGTATGGGAGTGATGATAGGGTCTTCTCCTGCTTGGCCGAGCTTGGAGTTGGGTTGACACATGAGCCGGGGTTCCATCAGGTAAAAGCTTCAAATTTTCTCCCACTCCTTGTTCATAGTGATCTAAATTTGCATCCTTTTGGTTGCATAAATTCGGGCACTATTGATGCGGCATTTAATTTGATTTTTGAATCTTATTAATTTTAACTGATCAAAAAATTAGTTCATTGTCAAAGAAACTTCATACATTTAGAGCAAATGGATATATTGTATGATAAAAAGCAAAGTTCCTTCAATCCAGAGATTAAGTATCGGGGAATCAGAGGGCAACAAATATAGTTACTGCAGTTAAATGCTAAAATTTTCACACGTTATAAGAAAGTTGATGTAATCGACTAAAGGAAAAAAATGGAAAATTACTATGTTGATATGAGCATGATATGGCAGTCATTCTACGGAGTTTTGCTGTATCAGCTTGTTCATCCACCATTATAACTGGTTCCCTTTACTTTGTCCTCCACGTAGTAGGAAGCTTGCTTATCCATCAATTTTTTGTGCAGTTCTTCATGACTTCATCCTCCACTTATGGTGTACTTGTGCTCCCTTTGATGTAGCCTTTCATCGTCATGTGTGTGTGTATGTTTTCTTCACGGATCAAGACATTTACACCTAATGTCATTTTGTGATATGTTTTGTCTAGGGCACATCTCTGTTCTTTTACGTTCTGCAATAGTCAAAGTGCCCCCGGTTCAAGTATTATGATGACCTTTAAAGAAACAAGATGCACTAAAATGAAACTTCATTTCTTCCTTGTTGGTATGAAAAATAAACTTAAATACAACTTATGGCTTCTAATTTATGTTAGGTTTTGATATATGTCACCCTTTTAATATTGTTCGATGTCCTAAGTGAAAAAGAGAAAGAAAAACCGAAAGACAAGGCTCGAAAAAATGCAGATAGATGGAACAATGCAAGCAGTAAGGCCATCGTTGTTCCCTCCTAATCTGATATCCAAGATATCTATAAACCATAAATTGATTGTGTAGCTAAATTTAATACATCAAGAATCACATATCACATTGAATGTATTGGAGTAACCTAGTGGTGAGTAGTTGTTTCTGTTAGTTTTTAAAATTATATTAACAAGACTTTAAATAGATTTTCTGCTGAACTATTTTTGTTTCAACTCATCAGTTTGATCTTCGTGGAGATATTTTTGGGATTTTGTCAGCACATCCATTGTCTCCTCTGATATCACTTCATCATATCGATCGTGTGGAACCAATATTCCCAGGCATGACTCATGTAGCAGCCTTGGATCATCTATTTAAAGCTGTAAACATTGATCCAGGCAGGATTTTGCAGCAAACTATTTGTTATGACAGCACAAAATTGCTTACTGTTTCGGTTTCCTGGGGATATGTGGTCCAGGTTTTTGAAGGCAATCAACTTCTTGTAGATCTGCTTTCTTTGCCACAAACATTTACTCCATGGAGGAGAGGTCGTAATTCTTCTTTAATTCCATATATGTTGAACACCAGGGAGCTCAACAAAGATCCATGTAAAAGACCAGATATTTTCTTTTTTGAGAGTGTGGCTTTGGATAAGGAGAAAATACAGAGCAATTACACAAGGCATGCATTTGGAAATTGCCAACAAAATATGAGTCCGGCCAAGGATCTTAAACAGATCAGGGTGTTCTCACAACAACTCCGTCGTCAGTCTGGGCTGGTACCATGTCTAACTTTTAGTGATCTACTACTCATTGTCCCTAAGTTCTAAGAGTTATATATCTAATTGAGGTGCTGGGTTGTCATAATAATTCTTTTGCAATTTACAGGCCATACGACGAGAGTGCTGCGATGTTTCACAAACATCTTCTGAAACAGTCATGGAGATAAATATCAGGAAATGTAAAGATGATGAGTTAATTGCGATGCATTGGTAGACAGGATGAGAATAGCTTAACCAAACAAGTTTGGAGAAAAACTGATTTGGTTAATTTGAGGAAAAGAATGAAAAGAATATGTTTTTTGTTGAAAATAGTCTAGACATATAAAATTTTCATTTATACATGAAGTTTATGCTTTTGGTGTCAATTTTCTTTTTGAATCTTTGAACCATTGTATTTGTCTACATTTGTCTGTTGCTGGCACATTGTGTCATGAACCTTTACCATGGCTACAAAGACGAAGGCATTTCATTACCACACAAATGCAGCACTTTTCAAGTTAAGGAAGATGTCAATCATCGGAATATAGTCGGTCATACGATGCAGATGCCTGATGCCTATCAAAAGGGAGAAGGTACTTCTACCTGCAATTCAGGTCATAACCTACATAGTTGCTAAGTTATATTCTGTCTAGTATTAGTTTATGCTTCTCTTTGGAATGAACATTTCTTTTGTTTATCATGTTCTATTTTTCCTACTTTTATGCTATTCTTTAAATCAAGCAAAATGTCAGTGATGATGCCAGGAGACTTGCTTTGTTTTGGTGGCAAATCGCTCCTACCTGTATTGAATAAAACTAGCCAAAAATGATCTGACCTTTTAGGACAGGATGTGATAGTTGGATAGCAGCAATTAAGAGTATATTTCTTTTGCTATGTCATGATGCTAGTCATCAGTGTTACATGTCTTTCTGATTTGGAACTATTCTGGATGAACTGGTGTAATTAGTTTAACTTTGCAATTAGTTTATATATATGGATAAATAACCATTATATAAGCCTTTTGTTTATATCATATACTTTGGAAGACATTAAGATGACACAAGTATTTTGATTCAAGAATAGTCATATCCCTAGATGACATTGAGATCCATAATCCCCCCTCCTAGACACCTCCTGCCCTAAAAAATCCTTCAGGCTTTAGGGGGTCATATTTGGTCTGCTCACTCAAAATTGCATGGCACCCTTGCAAAAAGAGACTTGTGTACTAGAACAAAGAACTGTGCCCCCTGGACGGTGGGGTAGATTGTTGGGATGGGTAACAAAGATATGAGCTCAAGGGGTGACCAAATAACAAGATGATAATGACTTACTGGTCATACTTTTGACTGGAGATGGTGATTACTAAAAGAGTTAAAATTTATATCAAGACAAGAGATGTGCACTTGAATATGATTTTGCACAAAAAAAGCGAAGGGTGCAAGGAGAGCATGATGAAGAAATGGGAAGCATTAGATTCTTCCCCCTTGAGCAAGAAGAGCATGATGATCATTTTTAAGTGCTTGTCAAACAACTCTTTGCCATTACTGTTGTTAGTAAATCACTTATCCTTCTTATCTCGATGTTTTCTGATTATTGAACTTCATAATCCTCCTGAACATTACTTTTTAAAATGACTATGTTTATCTATTAAATTTCCACGAGTTCTCTATCTTAAATTGCTAGTCTTTTATTTTCTTTTAGATTTCTAACATGAGAGTCGAGACAAGTTGCATTTATATTGAATTAGTTGCAAAGATACCAGTATGATTCCCCTTCATAGAAGTAACAGAAAGAAATATGCACCTATGCTTTATCTTATTCTTCATGTTAGCTGCAAAAGAAGAGATTTCCCTCAGTTCTTTCCATTTTTTGTTACTTGCTTTTTTGGTATGCTTTGATTTTGTTGTCATCTTATTTAAGGATTCTCGTCCATCAGGAAGACTATTCTAATTGAATCTGCACAATCAAGTGGTTTCACATGTTGGACATAGTGTATAACTATTTCTACTTTTTGAACCCATATATTGGATTTGCAGTATGATTATCATATCATTTGCTTATGTTGCTCTTTTAACCCAGATATTTTCTTACAAGCCAAGAATTCAGTTCAGTCTCCTGACCCTTTTTCCATTTGTGATTAGCTGACATTATCTTCCATCATGGAATGTCATTTGGGCTTTTATAAATGGCTACAAGACTGATTCAGATTGTTGTCCTTTAAAGAAAGGTTGGTTCGTTCGAGCTGCTTATAACATCTCTGCATTTGCTGACTGATGAAAGGCAAACCAACCTTCAGAGAATAGATTGACCTTCACCGAGTAGCATTGTTCATTCTTTGTACTTAAAAGGAGTTACTGATTCATCAATGAAGAAGCAAACTCATGAATGAGCTGGACGAGTCCGAGACATCCAAACCAAATATCTGACTGGGTAGATCAAGATTCATCTGAGACAGAGAACATCTGCTGGACTTTGTACACTTCAAACCATGTCTACAGGTCTGGTTTTTCTCAGTTCAGAATTTGGACAGCAAAAAAGATTCACAAACCAGTTTGTATGTGCCAGTCCTTTTGATACATTTTGTATCCAGAGACCAGAGTTCTATAACTTTTTAAGATTACATCAGCTTCTTTTAGTTCATGCTTCTAAATGGTTGACAATGGAACTGTATCATCAATCTATATTATGTTAATGAAATGCTTTACCATTCTGTGACATCTTGACATCATCTTAGGGGTAAGTCATGCGTTCTAGAAGTTGGCATCATCCACTCAGTGTTGTTTCAGTGATATTTTTGGCCATGTTGGAACATGTTTACATCATGAAGCTCCTAGCTACGAACAGTAAATAATTGCATTCTAGATCTTGTCACAGGGATATAATATTATTATAATCATCATTGCTAAAATGTTATCTGATATGTAATCTTAGTAATGTAAAAAAATACTTAAAAGTTATTCTATTATAAATATATGATTTGCATGATATATGAAGCTCAGTTTTGATTAGCTCTTTTT